GCCTGGGTGGCTCAGTCAATTAAGTGTTGGACACTTGATTTTGGCTTAGATTCTGATCTTAGGGTCATGTGATTGAGCCCCACTTCCGGCTCCATGCTTAGTGGGGAGAAGCAGTTCTCTCTCCCCCTCTGCCCCTCCCCCTGCTTGCATGCGCTCTCTCTCTCTCACAAATAAATAAATAATTTTTTTAAAAAAAGATGTAGAGAGGCACCTGGGTGGCTCAGTCATAAAGCGTCTGCCTTCAGCTCAGGTCATGATCCCAGGGTCCTGGGATCGAGCCCCACATCGGGCTCCCTGCTCGGCGGGAAGCCTGCTTCTCCCTCTCCCACTCCCCGTGCTTGTGTTTCCTTTCTTGCTGTCTCTCTCTCTGTCAAATAAATAAAGTCTTTTTTAAAAAAAAAAAGATGTAGGAGAATAGGAACAAAAAATATTTAAGGAAAGATATTTAAAATAAGAAAGAATAATGGAAATGCAGCCAGTAGGGGGAAAGTTATGAGTTGGACAACCTAGCACTAGAGTTCTCATAGGGAGGGACCATTTTGACTTAGCAGAATAGTTTAGAATTGCTTTGCAGTTTGGAGCAAAGCAAAAGGAACCTTGAATTGCCTTGTGCAAAAGGGAATGGGAATTGGAAATGAGTTAGAGGAGGTTGAATTTAAAAAATGGAAAAGATAGGGAGGGAGGGAAGCCTGCAGCTAATGCTGTTGTAGCTCCAGGTGGAGAGACAGCCAGTGAGAATGACTACTGGACTCTTAGAACTCGTCTCTGAAATTCAGTTTCAAGTTGTCTCTGAGTCGTGCTTCAATGTAAGCCATCCTCTGTTGCCCCCAAATCTTTTTTTAAGTATTTGCTAACACACCACCTTGTTTAGGCCATATTTTGGGGAGAGAAGGAGTTGGGGAAGTGTAGAAGAGACAGTGTGCCCAGGAGGTAAATGAAGCGTAGGGATCAAGGCAGAAGATCAGAGCTAGAGGTGGCTAAAGGGAGGACACCCCTGCCTCCATCTTCAAAACCCCCCAGAACCCTGAGAGATATTGGGAGGGACTATACATAGGATAGGGGTTTGAGCAGAATTCTTTTATATCTCAAGAGTTGGGGTACTCCAGAAGGTTGGAGGACCCTGTAAAGGACATGGAGGATAGGGGTGGGGAAATGCAGAAAAAAACTGCTTAGAAGGATCACAGCATACAGAAGTTAACTATGATGGTATGCTAAGATTGTGAGACATACTTATTTTCCTCTTTTGCTCATCTATATTCTGATTCTTCTGTAATGAATCCATATTACTTGTGTAATTTTTAGAAATAAAAATGTACTGAGGGGATAGGGTAAATCCACAGAAGTAGAAAGCTGACTGGTGGTTGCCAGGGCTGGGGAGAGGGGGAAATCAGGAGTGCCCGCTTAATGGGTATGGGTTTCCTTTTGGGGCGATGAAAGTGTTTTAGAGCTAGACGGAGGTAATGGTTGTACAACACTGTGAATGTGCCAAATGCCGCTGCATTGTTCACTTTAAAATGATTAATTTTATGTTATGTGAATTTGACTTCAAAAGAGAAAAAAGAAAAAAAAATCTATTGAAAAAATATACAACATAAATTAGATCCTGTCACTCTTCTGCTTAAAATCCTTCAAGGACATCCTAACTCTTTAGTATGGCAGACAAGGCGCTCATGCCCTGCCCCTGCCCCTCCCCGCCACAGCCACCCCTATAAAGCTTACTCTCCAGCCATACAAAACCATGTGCAGTGCTCTGAAAGGACCTATTCTTTCCTGCCTCCATGCTTTGGACGGGTTTTCTTTTCCTGGAATGTCCTTCGCCTAGTTACTTTCCACTCATCCTCTAAAACTCAACATCTCCTTTAAGAAGCTTTCCCTGATTCCATAGTTGGGGGTGCCTCTTCCCTGTGCCCCAAGAACCTTTGGGACAGTTCCCTATTTTATTGGTGTAGGAGATTGTGAACCCTTGGAGGACAGGGCCTCGTCCTTTCCTCTCTTTAGCCTCAGAACAGGACAGAAGCTACAATAAATGTGAAATGAATAATGGCCTTAGGATCACTGACAGAAACCACCTTTATCCTGGGCATGAAATTGAAAATGACTCAGAGCCTCCGAGTTTAGCTGGCTTACTGTGATATTTGTCACAGAAGAATGGGAGATCTGTTTCTTTTTACTTTTTTATGAATTATTTAGGAATTGAAACATAGATAAAAATTCCGAATAACAGGTTAATAAAAATGTCAACCTAAGTAGCAAAATGGTCCCACATGGGGCTTAGAAGTTTTCAGAATACTGATGATCTCAGGAAAACAAAACTCAATTACTCATAAAAGCTCAAATAAAACACAATAAAAACTCAATTACTTTTGCAGAAACAAAAACAAGAAAAACCCATGAGGGGTAGTAGATAAAAGAAGGTTTTTTTTTTTTAATATCTTGCCCCAAAACTAAGACATAGTATTGCTATCTTAGGATGTTTGTTAAAAAATACCTAAGTCTTAGGGGCGCCTGGGTGGCACAGTTGGTTAAGTGTCTGACTCTTGGTTTCCATTCAGGTCGTGATCTCAGGGTCATGAGATCAAACTCCATGTTGGCTCCACGCTTAGCGTGGAGTTGGCTTGAGATTCTTTTTTTTTTTTTTTTAAGATTTTATTTATTTATTTGACAGAGAGAGAGACGAGGAGAGAGGGAACACAAGCAGGGGGAGTGGGAGAGGGAGAAGCAGGCTTCCCGCTGAGCAGGGAGCCCGATGTGGGGCTCGATCCCAGGACCCTGGGATCATGACCTGAGCCGAAGGCAGACGCTTAACGACTGAGCCACCCAGGTGCCCGGCTTGAGATTCTTTCTTCCTCTTCTCCCTGTACCCCTCCCACTCATGCTCTCTCGCTCTCTCTCAAATAAATAAATAAGTCTTTGAAAAATATCCCTAAGTCTTATAGAATTTTAAGTGACCCTAAGCCCCTAATGAAAAAATGGATCTAGGCAAAAACCATCGATGGCTGCTAACACTATTAGGTGGAAGGTCAGTGAGGATCAGGCTGGCATCCCTGGAACTCAGTGTTCAACCTTAGCATTATTAAAAATGGGACAGCCAGACCCTAGTTGCCTCCTGATAAAATGCAGTAGGAAGTATACATCACCACTTAAGAAAAAGTCTTGCCAAAAGAATTGAACCTGAATTTAAGGTCTCTAATCACCAGTTTGTGAGAAATATAAAGGATAGAGAAGCATGTTAAATGACACCATAAAGATATAAGAAATCAAATCAAGAAGATGAGAAATTCTACCAGACAAATGACTTAGTTTCTGCAATATGTAAGTCATATGAAGAAAAAGGAAGGGAGAAATTATAGATTCAAGGAGACAAAGATTTAAGAGACATGAATTTGAATAACCACAAAAGGATACATTTGAGACAATCTGGGAAAATTTACATGAATTGGGTTTTAATAATATTAAGGAATGATTGTTATCTTTTTGTGTGAAAATGGTATCACACCATTATGAGTTTTTTTTTTAAGTTCTTATTTTTACAGATTGAAGTATTTATGGGGAGATGATATGATGTCTTGAATTGGCATTAAAAGGCTTCCTAAAAAGTAAAAAGTATGTGTTGGGAGTAGATGAAACAATCACACACAATATTAGTAATTGTTGTCTCTGGATGATAATGAGCACAGGGATTCATTATACTATTCCTTCCCCTTTTGTATATTAAAGAGTACACTTAACATTCAGCAGCCATGTGGCAATGTTAATAAGCCCATCTACTGAGCTGGACTATATCACACGAAATGGCATTGTTGGACCAATGGGAATATTTTGGGCCTTGAAGTCAGAAAGCCCTGGGTTCGAATCCCAGATCTGCTACTTAGTAGCCCTGTTACCTTGGGCAAGTTACTCACTTCTCAGAATCTGTTTTCTCATCTGTAAACGGGGATAGTATTAACCTACTTCGGAAAGTTGGAGGAACAAGTAAGATGATATATAAAGTGTCCAGCACTTGCCCAGCTAAGAATAAGCACTTTATATGTGTTAACTACCTTGTATTAATTCAGTTATTTATTTCCCTTATTGTTTTCTAAAAATAAATTAAAATAATACCAAAGCTGATGAAGTAAAAAGTGAAACTCCCCCAATTTCACTCTCCAGAGGAAGGAACCACCATTAACAGTTTGTTGTTGGTTATCTTTCCAGACTTCTTTATATCTGTAAATATATAAAAGGACATACATCCATATACATATGGTGTGGATTATTTAAACAAAAGTGGAATCATATATTACATATTGTTCTGCAATGAATTTTTTCCACATTGCAATATACAGTGTGTCTCTTTTTGTCAGTTCATATGGCTCTGTATATATAAATATATATATTTCAATAAGTAATGCCATTCATATGCCTTTGCTTCCAGGCATGAGCATTCCTGTGAGCTAGAATCCTACAGCAGAACTGTTAGGTCAAGGGTACCCATAGTGTATCCATCTTGATCATACATAAAATGGTCCTACTGTCCTACTGTCCTACTGTCCCTCCACAAGTTATTGACTTATTTTCACATTAAGACCTATTGTCTATACATTTCTAAGTTGCATGCTGAGAGATACTGTCCTTTCTGGTACCACTTATTTCTCAACAGGCACTGAAAATGTTTCAGAGAATAAATGTGTTTGATTAACAAAAACCAGCCTCATGGAAAATAGTCGGGCTCCATTCTGTTATTTGTTCCCGTGAGGATAATGCGCTGCATGCTGTTTTCAAGGCTGAATGTAGCGGTGGATTGGATAAAATAAATGGGAGTCTTAGTTTTCTTTGTGAAAAGCCAGTGAAGATTATGTGAGGCAGAAGCCTGAAAGAAAGCAGGGAATAAAAGCTCCTCTCAAAAGAGGTCCCAGCGGATGGCAGCCATGAAAAGGTGGATGAGTAAAGAAAGAGGAAGGAAATCCTGCCTCGATTCCCCAGGATGTTCAAGATCTCACTTTTCCCTTCTGTTGTTCTAGTGACTTAGAGAGGACAAGTCCAGAGAAAGACGGTTTTAAGAAGAAAAGAAATCCAAATGGAATCCAACTCGGCCTTACTTATGTAAGAGCACCTGTCATGTGTACAATAGTCCCAGGCAGAACTCCTAAGAAAGATCACTTTGTAAACCATCCTGCTGCTGTGGGGAGGTCAACAATTGTCCTTTGTCGGTGCAGCCCTCCCCTCACCCCACTATGGAATTGCTGGTCCAAACCGTTGTAGTAAGGTTTGGGCAAGAAGAAATTATTCCATTGTCTTTTAGAAATTAGATCAGTAAGGGTGATGTCATTCATGATTTCCTAGGGTTCTGGCTGTTCCTGGTGTAGGAAACCATGTGCAGCCCCATTGCTGCATATGTTTCTCTAGATCCACAGTCAACATGGACACATAGAAAATGACCTGTGTCAAATGAGAATCTACTTCAGTTCCAAAAATCTTAACTTTTTCTTTTTAGGTGAAGTCAAATCAACACTTAGTATACTGATTTCTAAAATAGTGCATGTAAAAACAAATAAGTAAATGTTCTGGTCTCTCTTGAGCTTAGGGAGAGTTTTAAGATCCAGGTTATTTACTCAATAAAATATGGATTTGTATTTGACCTCCAAAGCACTTTTTGTCTTTAATTTCTTTTTTAGCCCAGGATCAAAGTCTGCTGCCCATCCACAGACAGGCTGACCGCAGCAAGTAGCCAGTTTGCACATGAGTTTTAATATCAACATCGCCTTGATTTTTCTTTGACAAGTACCTTTAATTATTTCAACAAATATTTAATGTGCCAGGTAGTGTCCTGGGTGCTAAGGATAAAGCAGAACAAAACAACAAAAATCCTTGCCCTTGTGGGTTTACATGCTAATGGGGAAGCTTCATTCGTTCATTTGCTCATTTATTCAACAAGTGTTTATTGGTTTTCTAATATGACTCAAGTCTTAAGCCACACACTGTGCTTAAACAGCATTCCATCTCTGCCCTCAGGGCACAGTGGGAGAAATAAGACATGTCCCCATGCTTTCCCTGCTGCTCCCCGTATACAAAGAATACAGAAGAGGGGCACCTCTTTCAGCTTGAGTGGTTCAAAGATGATTTCTCAGAGAACATGACAAGTAAGAGAGGCTGGAAGAATGACTGATGAGGGAAAAGGACAGTCCATGAAGTGATGAGACAGCGTGATGCAAGGCCCAGTACAGATGAATGCTACTGAATGAATGGCTGAAACGCCCAAGAGAACATCAACTCTGAGAGGCATGTTCTGGGAACTACAAGTCCTTTCCTGTGACTGGAGTTGAAAGTGTGTGGGGATGAGGGGCAGGAGATGGGGCTTGGGGAAGGAGGCAGGGTATGGATGTGAGGTAGGCTGGCTAAGGAGCTTTGTCCTGATGACAATTAGAAGATTCGTGGATCGGGTGCCTGGGTGGCTCAGTTGGTTAAGCGACTGCCTTCAGCTCAGGTCATGATCTGGGAATCCTGGGATCAAGTCCCACATCAGGCTCCCGGCTCAGCAGGGAGCTTGCTTCTCCCTCTGACCCTCTTCCCTCTCATGCTGTTTCTCTCTCTCTCTCTCAAATAAATAAATAAATAAAATCTTAAAAAAAAAAAGATTCATGGATCGTTTTAAACAGCAATGTGATATGGTCAGATTTTGTTCTGTTCTTAATAAAAGTATATTTTAAAAACTACACAAATGATACATGTTGATTTTAGATGAACCTTGAGGAACTTTTTGTGTGAGTGATTATTTCATTATACTATTTCTATTTTTTTTTTTTTTTTTTTAAGATTTTATTTATTTATTTGAGACAGAGAGAATGAGAGAGAGCATGAGAGGGCGGAGGGTCAGAGGGAGAAGCAGACTCCCTGCCGAGCAGGGAGCCCGATGCGGGACTCGATCCCGGGACTCCAGGATCATGACCTGAGCTGAAGGCAGTCGCTTAACCAACTGAGCCACCCAGGCGCCCTCATTATACTATTTCTATAAACTGGTACACTGCACATCTCTTTCTCCATCCCAGCAGAAGAATCTTTCTCATTGGGTTTGACACACCAGAAGGCTCTCAGTAAAGATTTGCTGCTTGTGAAATCCCATGCACACTGGCAAGGTGCAGCCAGCTTAGGTGAGGCCGTGATCTGCCCCAAATGTGCCACCCTGAGAAACTGGAGCTTCACCACCTATCTTGGAATATTTAGCAATTCCTACTGCCACATCATTGCCACTATATATATTTTTTTTCATCTCCTTTTAAAAATTTTTACCATGGGAAAGTTCAAATATTAATCTATGGAAAAGTAGATAGTATAATGCACCCTTATGTACCCATCACCCAACGTCAACAATTAACAACTCATAGCCAGTCTCGTCTCATTTATATCCTTGTCTCTCCCGCACCATTGCATTGTTTTGAAGTAAATCCCAGACATCATATCTTTTCATATTTGTCTCTAAAAGATAAGAACTTGGTTAAAAACATATCCACAGGGGCGCCTGGGTGGCTCAGTCGTAAAGCGTCTGCCTTCGGCTCAGGTCATGGTCCCAGGGTCCTGGGATCAAGCCCTGCATCAGGCTCCCTGCTCCGCGGGAAGCCTGCTTCTCCCTCTCCCACTCCCCTTGCTTGTGTTCCCTCTTTCGCTGTCTCTCTGTGTCAAATAAATAAATTCTTAAAAAAAAAAAATGTCTACAACCAACGAATTATTTATTCTTTTTTTTTTTAAGATTTTTTATTTTTGACAGAGAGTGTGTACAAGCAGGGGAAGAAGCAGGCAGAGGCAGGGGGAGAAGCAGGTTCCCTGCTGAGCAGGGAGCCCAATGCGGGGCTCGATCCCAGGACTGTGGGATCACGACCAGAGCTGAAGGCAGATGCTTAAATGTCTGAGCCACCCAGGCGCCCCCAAATTATTTATTCTTTCTTTTAAAATATTTATTTACTTATTTGAGAAAGAGGCTGGGTGGGGGGAGATGGGCAGAGGGAGAGGGAGAGAGAGTCTCAAGCAGACTCTGTGTTGAGCACAGAGCCCTCATGACTCTGAGATCATGACCTCAGCTGAAATCAAGAGTCGGATGCTTAACCGACTCAGACACCCAGGCACCCCCCAAATAATTATTCTTTATTGTCATCAAATACACAGTGTTCAAATTCCAATCGTCTCTTTTTTTTAAGTTGGCTTATTGGAATCATTATCTGCACAAGATCCACGTTTTTATCAAGTGGTGTTTCCTAAGTCTTCTTCAATCAACAGGTTCCCTCTTTTCCTTTCTTCCTCCCTCCCTCCCTTCCTTTCTCTTTCTCCCTCCCTCCTTCCCTTCCCCTTACCCTCTGTCTCTTCCCTCCCTCCCACCCTTCCTTCCTTTTCTTTCTTTTTTCTTTCTTTCTTTTTCCTTTCTTTCTTTCTTTCTTTCTTTCTTTCTTTCTTTCTTTCTTCTCTCTCTCTCTCTCTCTCTCTCTCTCTCTCTCTCTCTTTCTTTCTTTCTTTCTTTCTTTCTTTCTTTCTTTCTCCCTTTCTTTCTTTCACCTTGCTTGCTATTTGTTTAACTTTAGGCTCTTAAACAGAATGGTAAGTGGAAAACAACACTTCTAAGGATGCCATTTTCCTTCACGCTCACCTTCATTGTTTTTTTTTTCTAACGCCTGACAGTTTTTGAGGTAAAGAATTGTATCCCATTATCACAAAACATTCTTTGAATTTGTGAAGTATGTCTAATGTTTCCTGGTTGTTTTTAGCCTGCCAGCTTTATCCAAGCATTGAGTGCAAGGTGATCACACCATACACCCAACTGAATTCAAGAAAATATAATGTTGAATGTATTTTTGGAAAGGGAAAATGTTATTTAAACAGAAAAACAGTGTAAGATATCACAAAGAAAAATATCAATAGAATTAAATATATACTAAGAATTTTTTGGTCAACAAACACAAAATGGAAGGACAAATGATAAGCTGGGGGGATAGTTGCCATTTTTGAGAGATAACAAGTTCGTAGCCTTAGTACTTGTGGCCTGGTCTAGCCTGCCACTGGGTCCAGATGGGTCCACTCACAAGATTACCCGAAGTCCTGATTCTCTAGATCCCATCTTCCAGATTATCTGAAAGTTACGTTTTTTTCCTCAGGATCTCCTGCCCCAATTATTCACCTGAAAAGCCTTAGGGGTGAGGGTGAAATCTTTACATTTAGTGCCTCTGTTCTATCTGTTGGTCTCACCATCCTTCTGCCCTGTGGACCCCAGGAGCTATGCTGGGTCTCTGCTGACTTCATCCCTACCATCTCTTCTTCCCCTCCAGCAATCAGGAAAACAACCTCTACTTATGACTGATGATTTTCAAAGGGGTTTCCTGCAGAAGAGCTCCTGGGCCCCTACTGACCTAGTTCTTTTAAATATGCCACAGTCCCTTCTCTCCTAGAACTCACAAGCATTCTTAGGATGAAGGAAGAGAGGTAAAAGGGCAAGTCAGAGGACGGTCAGGCCCCTGTGGTACTTAAAACTTACACCTTGACTCCCAGCATCTGCTGCATAAATTATTTCCTGGCTACAAGTGGCAGAAGCTGATGCTGACAGATTAAGCAGAAAAGGGTTTATTCAAAGAACATTGGGTAGCTTGTAGAATTGTCGCAAAGACTGGAGGAAACAATCTTGGGGCTAAGCTCCCAAGAAAATCGCCCAGCACTATGGGACACAACTGGCCTAATGAGAAAACAGGCCTCTGGCCCATCACCACTCAGCAATTACCAGCTGCCGGGAGCTCAGTGTGGCTGCCAGCACCGCTGCCAAAGGCATTAAGCCTCTTCTACATCAGGAACTCAACCCTACAGACCACCCAGTCGCCCCAAGCACACAGCTCTGCTGTCACCCTCACCAGTGAGAGGAGCGCAATCTTCAGTCTTCTCCCCTTGCCAGCCCCCTTTCTCACCGGAGTCCCACCGGAGTGCATCTGACTAGAGGAGTACAAGGCACGGGCCTGTGTCCTTGCTGAAAAGGAGCGGGAGGGGAATGACCATTCTGCCTTCTAACTTGGTGGAACTCAAAAGGGAAAATCCTGCTAACATCAAAAGGGTATTCAAAAGGTGCTGGGTACCAAAGACCAGGACAAATGTCCACCAGAATGAATGACTTAAGCTAGGTATGATGGGGGTGGTCTCTTTGAGATAGGGTGGCCTTACACCTACTGATTAAAATATGGACTGGGTAGGGGACACCTGGGTGGCTCAGTCGGTTAAGTAACTGACTCTTGATTTCAGCTCAGGCCATGATTTCAGGGTTGTGAGATCGAGCCCCAGGTCAGCCTGCTTAAGATTCTCTCACTCCTTCTCCCTCTTCCCATCCCCCCTAAAAAAAAAGAACTTGCACCGTATTTGTACAAATTTACAAAAATAAAATCTAATTATAAAAAAATATGGACTGGGTTAAAAGATGAAATGGCATACAAGGTTATTCATGGAGGCAATATTTTTAATAACAAATGATTGGAACTATTCAAATGTCCAAACCTCTATTAGGTTTGAATAAAACTTTTGGTACATCCATACATGCATGGAAGATAATGTAGCTGAAAATGAAGGTGGAGGAACGATCTCTAGAATATAAGTGAAAAAACAAAATGGAGAATAATATATATAGTAGTTAATATATATAGTAGTTATCTTTTCTGTAAGAAAGGGTGGGGATATATATATATATCCATATATATATATATGGCTCCATAGAAATTACCATTTTTGCTGTTAAAATGGTTAATTATTGGCAATTTCATGTAATTCAACATAGGGTGGAGGAGACAAAGATGGAAAAGAGATTCTGCAAATACAACTGTTATGTTTTTTTTTTTCCTTGGAATCATATGTGTTTTACACATTTAAAACATTTAATTTAATGTTTTAACATTTGACATTTATATGTTATGTTTATAATTAAATGTTAATTTAACATTAAAACATTAAATTTAATTTAAAATGACAATTCCTATAATTTTAAAACAAATTGAAAACAATAAACCTAACTGTATATCAAGTTAATGATGTAGCTGCACAGAGAAAACAATTATTTCAAGTGATTTCAAGTGATATTACAATATAGTATATTTGTTGTATGTACATTGTGGTATATATTTTAAGGGCAAAGAAATCTAACACTTCATTCAATAGTTACATTGCTAGTAGCAGTCTTTGTGTTAGTATTTTTTTTTTTAAGATTTTACTTATTTGACAGAGCACAAGCAGGGGGAGCAGCAGGGGAGAGGGAGAAGCAGACTCCCCACTGAGCAAGGAGCTTGATGCTGGGCTGGATCCCAGGACCCCAGGATCATGACCTGAGCCAAAGGCAGCCGCTTAACTGACTGAGCCACCAGGTGCCCCGTGTTAGTATTTTGAAACTATTTTTTATACAGTGTTGCATACAGTAATAAGTAACTATGTTAATGTTAGGAATCAAGATTTTCAATGTAAGAGAAGAAAAAGTGAAATCAAAGGCATTAATATAAATATTAACATTAAATTTGAATTATAAATATAATATTAGAAATAACTAGAAATAATAGTAGAAATATTACAAATTTGATATTTGAAATATGGTTTTTTTTTCCCCAAAATATCTCCTGTTTCTGTACTTTTCAGAAGGGCCTAGAAGTATTAAAAACCCATGGGTAATGAGCAACCTCTAGTGCCTAGATTGTGGTCCCTAAAGGACATTTCCCATTTGAAGGAACCAGGACTTCTTGGGTGGCTGATTCCAAGTCTGGGACAGTACCTGTACAAGATGAGGCTGGAACATCCTGCTGAGTCAAAAACTATTACGTGATCAAAGATGGGTGGGTTATATCAAAAGGACTCAGGAGCCCAATGACAGGGCTCCAATTGACCAAGAATTGGATAATTTAAGAAACCAAAAAGGTAGTGATTGAATTTGATTGAAATACATAGAATATATGAAAGCCTACTGAGTTCATGGGGGGAGGAGGCATCATGAGATGGCAAAAGAAACAATTGAACAAACTCATTGGTGGTAACTAGGTCACGATCCTCACTCTGAAAAAGGGCAATTTAAGGCAAATGAGTAAGCATTATGCTGCCTTTCCAATTCAATCTGCATTTCAGGGTGTCCAAATAGCCCTACTGGGGCTATTGATGAGGAGGAGTTCTTTACAGAGAATTCCCAGCTAATGACAGTGGAAGGAATGACGGAATTAGAAAAATCACCATTTTGCCATCCTAATGATATAACTGATTAAGGCAAATGAAAGCATTAGATGAAAAGCTTATGAGAATGTTACCATGGAGAGATCTGGCTGACATCACCGGAATCCACAGATCAATCTTCAGTAAGAGACAGCACATGTGCTTCTTGAGATGCTCCCTTAGGAAAGAAAAAGAACCTGAAGACAATAAAGCTTTTAGAACTAACCTCCACTTCACATAAAATAAATGGAGGCTCAGGTTTAAGTGAGACCACCAAGGACGTAAATGGATAAACCCAGATTATGAGATATTCTATAGCACCACTGAACTAGCTTAATCAACATGTCAAGGTCATGAAGAAATAAAAGGTGGGGTGAAGTGAGGAGAGACAATTCTAAATTTTAAAACACTCAAAAGACATAACCATCAAATGCAATGCATGGACCTCATCTGGATCCTGATTTTAATGAACCAACGATAGCAAAGATATTTCTTAGATATCAGGGAACTATGAAAATGGTCTAAGAATTAGATGATATCAAGGAATTGTTACTGTAGCAAGACATGTTCCTGGCAGCATGGTTATGTAAGAAAATATTTATCTATTTTAGAGATGCAAAATGAAATATCTAGAGACAAAATAACATGAGGTCTGGGATTTGCTTTAAAATACTATGCAAAAAAGGAGAGGGATGGATGAAGGCGGTGTGGTCAAATCCTAATGCTGCTGAATCTGGGTAATGGGTATTTTTTATACTACTCTTCTAATTTCGTTTTTTGTGTTTTTTTGAAATTTTCTATAGTAAAAAGGATCAATGGAGACAAGCAAAATAGAAATCAGTTCAACTCAATTCTTATAGATGGAAAGACATGGGAAAAGTTATTACAAAACAGACTGACTTGCTATGTTTGTCATTGTGCCCTGGGCAGTGCCGGCACATCTGACGTCAGTGATCACAACCTCGCATGATGTGACCTCGGTGGAAGGAAGGGCTGCTGGTAGGTGTGACAATTCTTTCTCACATCTCCTTTTTGCGAGCACCTGAGGTGGCACCTCAGCAAATCTAAGCAGAGTACGGAGCAGTTTGCAATGTTCTTTTGCATCAAAAAAAAAAGCAAATCACACTTGATATCTTTGCTGATTCACTGGGGAATAATTTTTGGTCCTGTAAGTACATCTCAAGATTTAAGTGGAACTCGGAAGAACTTAACAAGTGTGTTGATTCCGTACAGCTTGCCCTTCATCCCCCCTCTCCTGACACTTCCTCTGTGCCTGTCCTGTTTGAATAAGGCTGCTGGGTGAGGAAAGAAGAAAATTTTTTTTAGATGAGGATTATAAGAATTAGGGATGCAATCACAGCACCCACTCTCCATTCCAGAACCTGGGGCCAGCCAAAAGTATTAGTGGATCAGTTTTCTTTCCCACTGGACTCGGCTTCTTGCCACACCACTCCAGGTAGCACCATATTGATGAAGTCATTCTTACTCAAAATGTCTTCAGACTGAATTGTAGAATAAAGCATTTGCCTCGCTGCTTTTTAATTTCTACAGTGGAACAAACAAGAAGAAAAACATCTTGAATAGAAGCTCAAGGAATTTGGATTAGATTAGATTCAAGGAAGAACCTCATGTGAGGAAGTTAAAATCTGGAACAGTTATGCTACTTAGATTATGATATTTTCCCTAAAAGACTGGACAGATTCTTATTGTCTGGAATGGTCAAGGACTAACGATGTTGACAACCATCTTTTGGCCCATGTCAGGGCATCTAGCATTTTTGCCTGCCCATTATCTCTTTCACCTCCTCCTTATAATAGAAAATTCTTTCCTTTGGAGAAATCTATGTTTGGGTAGGGCTGCTACTTCCCTTCTACATTTGGTTTCAACTGTGCCTGAAGTAAGATTCAGTCTTGGAGAATTTAAATATGAGCAACAGGGGGGCCTGGCTGGCTCAGTGGTAGAGTGTGCAACTCTTGATCTCGGGGTTGTAAGTTCAAGCCCCATGTTGGGTGTAGCAATTACTTAAAAATAGAATCTTAAAAAATAAATGAATATGAGCCACAGTAAATTGCCTGCCCCCCCTCAGTTAGTTTGGATAGTGTTAATGTCATTTCTAGGGAAATTCTTGATTTGCATGGCATGTGACATGCTTCAGTTCATTCCATTAACATGTATTAAGCTGTTGCAGTCATTCTGACACCCTGGAGATACAGAAAGGAAAGACAACCTTTGTTTCAAGGTGTTCATAGTTAAAGGTACAGTTATGATACAGTAGTAATGTAGTAGATGAAATAGTACTTAACAGTTCCAAGCACTGTTTTAAACATGTTGCATATACCAACTTATTTAATTCTTACAGTTCTTTGAGATAGGTCCTGTTACTTTTTTCATTTTTGAGATAGGGAAAATGAGGCACAGAGAGGTTAAGGAAATTGCCCAAGTTTACCCAGTTCAGGAACAGAATATCTGGGATTTAAACCAGGGTAGCCTGGCTTTTAGCCACTACATTCTAGAGCCTCATTATCCCTAAGGGTCAGTGTAGTTGCTATTTTGGAGAATAATCAATTCTCATGGCTGCCATTCATTAAATGCTTCCTCTGTACCCAGTCATGTGCTAGGTGCATTTCGGCCTTAACACGTGAAGTCTTTTGAAGGATTTGATGTAGCAAAGATGATTTATTGCGTAGTTGAGGGAACTGAGGCTCAGAGAAGTTAAGTGACTTGCCCAGATCACACAGCTAAGTGGCAAAGTGTGATTTGGTCCAGTCATGTCTACCTCTAAAGACTTTGCTCTTTCTGTCATATTTCTCTCGAGGACCTTACCTTCCAGCTTTTCCATGAGAGGTGTAACGTCTAGGAGGCTTGTGACTGGCTGCCAGTGACTGGGAGAGGAGATCAACCCTGGGAGTCCTCTAACATCAGAGAGTATGCCATATTTTGTTCCCAGAGGTACTCTTGCAATTTGTGTATACCTTGCAACCTGACACTCCTGAGAATATATCTGCTGTGCTACAGGAGAGATTAAGAAGCTCATGGTAAGTGTTCTTTTGGGAGAATAAAAAGGTTATTTTTTTATTTTTGTGGCAGCCACTCAAATGTTGAAGGAGGAGAAAGTTGCTTTTGTTTTACTTCCTGCCCTCAGGCCAAACATGTGAATAAGGCTCTTGGATAAGGTATGTGTCAGGTATCCTGAGGACCAAGTGCACATTTAATTAGAAGACCAGGCAATAAAAGGGGTGTTTTGGTGGGAGATTTTCTATGATCCATAGCAGGCATCTTTGTCTAGTAAAACCACCCCCAATATAGGAGAAGCTCTCATGTACTTTCATGGAACCAACTCAGAGGATTAACTTCTGGAAAAGTTATCAGCTAAGGCACACCTGCGTATTTCTGCACTCAAACATTTGAGTGCTTACCAAGCTTTTGAGATAGATCAACTAATTAAATCCTTATAACAATGCCATTTACAAGCAAGAAAAATATGGCACGAGGAAGGTAAATAACCACATCAATGGAGTTAGATGTTTATCAGGAGTCAATGCTGTTTGCTAGCAAACTCAATTTTTCTAGGCACACGTGGTATAATTTAATTAAATGAAGTGTAAACCTGTGAAATAGGAGTGTAAAAAGTTGAACTATTATTTCTATGGAAACGAAATCGAATGCTTTGGAAAGACTTGAGAACCGTGTACCCCCCCAAATTGCTATTGAATTAGGTCTGAGCAAGACCATGCTCTTTCCTATCTCTATGACTGTTCTTGTTGCTGCTAATTAGGTCTTTCTCATCTTTCCCTCCTTCAAATGCATCCTCCAGGATGACCTTCTAAGAAGCCTTCTCTGGTAGCCTGTGTTGTACCAGTGGGTTACTCATTAGTGGCAAGTTGCTTAATTTCTCTGAGCCTTAGGAGTCTGCATCAGTGAAATGATCTACCTTGCAGGTCTGCCATGGAGATTAAGTGAGATGAGGCTTGTAAAGTTACCTGGCCCATAACAGGTACTCAACAAATGGCAATAATTGCGATGTGCTTGGTTCTAGGCTGGGGCTACAGAATGGGGGAATGAGAGAGCCCCCTCCCACAAGAAACTGCAGACTAGCCCATGACTACCTGCTTTTGGTTTCGCTTGCCCTGTAGCGAGCTGAAGCAGATTTTCACAAATATAAGTGGAAACTTTTCTAGACGTTTTTAGACCCTGACACCATTATGTCATCCAAGTTTTCAGTTAGCATTTGAATAGCTCATCCTGAAGGCCCAGAGGGCATCAGCCCAGAACCTTTCCAGATACAACTTTCTTATACTTTGTCACAAAATGATTTGTCCTGATTCTTTTTTTTTTAATTTATTTTTTAAAGATTTTTTATTTATTTGTTTGAGAGAGAGAGAGCATGAGAGGGGGGAGGGTCAGAGGGAGAAGCAGACTCCCCGCCGAGCAGGGAGCCCGATGCAGGACTCGATCCTGGGACTCCAGGATCATGACCTGAGCCGAAGGCAGTCGCTTAACCAACTGAGCCACCCAGGCGCCCCGATTTGTCCTGATTCTTAAAGGGGCCATTGGAATGGCCTCAAGAGAAACGGGTTTCGATTCCTGGAAGCCACATGGAGTGGGCTCTGGAATCTTGTCACGATGCGTTCAAGTCATGGCTCTACCATTCACTGGCTCTTTGACCTCAGAACAGTTACATGATGACTCTGAGTATCAATTTCTTCATCCGAAAAATGAGAGTAACAATTCTTATTTCAGAAGAGGGTAATAAGAAGCAAATGAGATGAAGCGTCAAGTGTCCGGCACAGTGCTTGGCATATAGTCAATATCTAATTCACGTTAGTTTCCTAGTAGGTGAATATAAGTAGGTAGGAATGTAGTGGGCACGCATCTAACATGTGAGCTAAGGAAGTGCAAGCAGGCGTTCTTCAATGCTTTCTTTGTGCTATTGTCAAAAAGACTCCAGTCTGGACAGCCCATTGGTCTGACCTTGCACGTGGTCTCTTCCTAGTTTACCAGAAGACATGACTAATAATCAAATACTTATTCCATTACTTAGCTTTCAGGGCTGTCTTGAGTGAGGTAATCAGCCTCCGGGAGCCTCAGTGTCTTTTGTTATAGCACGCAGATACAAGTGCCTACCTTGCTGGAGTGATGAAAGGAACAGAACTAAAGACACACACCTGGGGCAGGGTGGACACTCACCGGTGCCCGAGGAAATGCAGCTAGTAATAGCAGACGTAGCAGGAGGCCCTCTTTCTGAGCTAGAAGTGGGCCAATTGATCCAAAAAGTTGACACAAGCAGGAAATCTCAAAGCAAAATCCCTCCCCATGCCCTATAGTACCACTAAGATCATCAAACCTGTTCATTTCATCCCTCACGGTAGCTCCCATCCCCACTCCTGGCCTGTATGGTTGATGTGAGTCACCCACCTCCCAAGGCTAGAAACACTGCTCCAGACAGAAAGTTTGATCTGCAGCCTTGCTGGTTTTCCTGCTCACAGAGACCACATCCATGGCCACAGGCTGAAGTTGGAGGAGAAGAGAGTGGGGGTGGCAGTCACTGTGGACCACAGAAGAGGAAAATGTGGGGAAATCTGAAATGCGGGGGAGGTGGCTGGGGAGAAGTGGAGGGAAGAGGAACCGTGAGGTGGGAGCTGCTGTGGGGACCAGCTGTCCCTCGTGCTGCCATCTGGAGTGCACCATCCACCGCCTGCAGAATTGGGCTGGTCCCTGAGCATCTGGTTTGGAGTGAGTGCTTTTGCCTTGGAGGCCTTGACAAGTTTTCTTTCCCCGTCTGCCCCTTCACATGTTGGCAACATTGACTCTTGGAAGCCCCAGAAAATGGGGTGAAGGGATGTGGACTCCTGGAGAGGTGATGGCATCCTGAAGGGAAACCCTTGCTCCTGTGAAACTGAGACGAACAGAACCAGGTTTGGCCTTGCCTCCCTGTTGGGATGGTGTCGGAATACCCCACCATGTTATGCATATTGCAAATTGCAAACTCTATGGATTTAGGACTCTGTGTTTCTAAGTCAAACTGGAGACGACCTCCACTCTGAACTGGAAACGTACAGTTAACGCAAAATCCACCTGCTCGTATTGTAATCAAACGCACACTTCTGACTTAGTTGTTCTTGCAGTTTATAATTAGACCGTGTTGTCAGAAAAAAAAAATTGAAAGCAGCTGTGTTTCGGTGCTATTCAGATCTGTGACTGACCCAGTTTTCAAAAATTAAAAATGTGGCATTGGTATTCATCACATCTTTGCGCCTTGCTCACATTCCTTTTTTTTTTTTTTTTGCCTTGCTCACATTCTTAAGATGAGCATTGAGAAGTGTTTTCTGAGCTGTGAGCTTATGGAAGAGGAAGGGCCTTGTGGCTTAGGACACTGACCAGCCCTCAAGCAAAATGCCAGAGATACAGCTCTTGCTGAGATTTACCTTCGCTTGCTGAAAGGAAGATGGCAAAATAGACCTCTCCAAAGGGTAACCGTGAGAGCCGTAAGAATCAAAATGGTCATCGAGTGGTTTACGCTGCTGTTCTCAATGTTTTTGCCACCACTGCCCTCGTGAGAGCAGTGAGCTACAGAGCTGAACCCTTACTCAACTCTCCATCCCATCCCTATGTGCAGAGAGCCTGGCTTCCAGGATCCTCCCCAAGCTGTGCAAGAAAGTTGGTGGTTTATTCTATTTTTTTTAAAGATTTTATTTATTTATTTGAGAGAGAGAGAATGAGAGACAGAGAGCATGAGAGGGAGGAGGGTCAGAGGGAGAAGCAGACTCCCTGCCGAGCAGGGAGCCCGATGTGGGACTCGATCCCGGGACTCCAGGATCATGACCTGAGCCGAAGGCAGTCGCTTAACCAACTGAGCCACCCAGGCGCCCCGGTGGTTTATTCTAAAGGAATGGAATGAATGAGGACTCTCCTCTGTGTCTGGTCTTTAGGATTTCCAAACAGAATGGCTCTTTCTCCCCTGCTTGTTATAAAGCACAGCTCTCAGCCTTCCTACACGGTAGTCTCAAGCAGCTCTCCTGTCCTCTCATTCTTGGGCATGTGTATACCATCAAAGATGGCCAGACCGGGGGCGGGGGGGGATGGGATAACTGGTGATGGGCATTAAGGAGGGCACTTGATGGAATGAGCACTGGGTGTTATATGCAACTGAAGAATCAGTAAGTTCTACCCCTGAAATTAATAATCCACTGTATGTCAACTAAATTGAATTTAAATAAAAAAAGATGGCCAGACATTTAAGTAAGACATAAAGGACAAGAAAAACTGACAGAAAAAAGTGATAACACCAGAGGAAGCCAAGATAACTCAGCAGAACAAACCAAAAAACGGAATAAACACATTTAAAAGGATCCTCTAATTAGTATGCTCATAAAAGATGTTGCATCTGCAAAATAAGAACAGGTTGCTATGAAAAAGAAAAACTCAGAGCGCAAAATAGAGGCTTTCCTAAAGTTGACAACAATCCTAGTAGTTTACGTGACATCACCTAAAGTGATCTACGAAGCAAAAAGGAACTTTTTTTTTTTTAAGATTTTATTTATTTGCGAGAGAGACAATGAGAGACAGAGAGCATGAGAGGGAGGAGGGTCAGAGGGAGAAGCAGACTCCCCGCTGAGCAGGGAGCCCGATGTGGGACTCGATCCCGGGACTCCAGGATCATGACCTGAGCCGAAGGCAGTCGCTTAACCAACTGAGCCACCTGGGTGCCCGCAAAAAGGAACTTTTCTAAGCTATTAGCTACAAAGAACGAATTCTGGTCAACCGTGGGAACTGCATTATCTTTCTCTTCTCTCTTTTGAAAATGATATTACAAAATCATTATCCTATGAAGAGGCTACCAAAAAGTAAGCAACTGAAGTCATAGGGAAAAAAGTATATAGAGGTGTGCCACTCAGTGAATTAGTAAAAGTTTTGCATTTCTTTGGCTGTCAGCTTTTATTTTTTAATTTAAATTTTGTTAGTTAACATACAGTGCGATATTGGTTTCTGGAGTAGAATTCAGTGATTCATCACTTACATACAACACCCAGTGCTCATCACAATAAGTGCCCTTCTCAATACCCATCATCCATCTAACCCATCCTCCACTCACCTCCCTCCATCAACCCTCAGTTTGTTCTCTATTGTTAAGATCCACTTATGGCTTGTTTCCCTCTCTCCTTTTTTTCTTTGCCCCTTTCCCATATGTTCATCTGTTTTCTTTCTTTTCTTTAAATTCCACATATGAGTGAAATCATATAGTATTTGTCTTTCCCTGACTGACTTATTTCACTTAGCATAATACACTCTAGCTCCATCCACGTTGTAGCAAATGGCAAGCTTTCATTCCTTTTGATGGCTGAGTAATATTCCATTATCTATCTATCTATCCATCCTACATTTTTATCCATTCATCAGCTGATGGACACTTATACTCTCTGCATAATTTGGCTATTGTTGATAATGCTGCTATAAACATCGGGGTGCATGTACCCCTTTGAATCTGTTTTTTTTTTTTTCTGAATCTGTATTTTTGTATCCTTTGGGTAAATAGCTAGTAGTGCAATTGCTGGATTGTAGGATAGTTCTATTTTTAACTTTTTGAGGAACTTCCTGCTTTTTAAAAGTTGTGATGTGTTGTGATTTCTTTTCTCATTCTAAATAAAAATTTACTGTTATATATAATTTTGCTTTCATAACTTAATATCTATCTTCTTAGTGTATGTGTTGCCAACGTGAGTACAATATTCTTTTCAGGCCCCATAAAACTTGCATGTGCCCCTAGCAGTGAGCTACATTGCTTATGGATAGAACCCAGAAGGCGGCAAACAAATTGCAGAAGGACATATGCTGTAAGCATTCAATTCAGACACCTTTCAAACACAGGACTCACATTATTTAGTGTTTATAGCTGCACATACTGATAGTAAAAGTGTGAAAACATATGCTGGAAGATACACACCTGATTTGTGAGCATAGTGGCCAGAGGGTATGAGGTACTCTATTTCTTACTTATTTTCTGAAGCAAAAATGAAAAAATGTTACCATATCTGAGTGAAGGATACATGGGTGTTCCATTATTCTCAGTGATTTTCTCTTTTCTATTCAAATTGTGCAATTGTAAAGTCAGATTCCCTCCAAATTTGGAGAGCACCGTCAACAGTTTTCCAGTGTCCAGTATTTGTCATGACAAATTGTGTCAGTCAGGTGGCATCGTTTGCAGGTGACCTGCTTTTCCTCTCTGTCTCTGTGGTCCCACTACTTCACAATGATCTGTCTGCCTGAAGACCTTGGGTCCCTCATCATGCTTGGCTTCTGTGAACTTTCTAAGTTGAGGACTGCTGTCCTTCAGCTCCAAGTACTTATTCTATTAGTCCTCCGTCAAATTTATTCTTGCCATTTCTGTTCTTTTTCTGGATCTCCTGTTAGTCAGATGGTAGACTTCCTATTTTTGTCTCACATGTTACTCAGGTTTTTTCCCCTTATTTTATGGAAGATTTCTTTTACCATCTTATAACCCTTCATTGAAATTTTGGCAATTATATTTTTAACTTCCAAGATTTTTTTTTACTCCTTCATAACATCTTGTTTTATTTTGTGGATGCTCTGTTGTCTATGAAGATATTAATAAAATGGTTTTAATTATAACAGTTGTTTCATTTTTGTGTTGTTTGTGGTCAGAGTAGTTTAAACACATATACCAATGTGGATTTTTCTTTTTCTTAAAAATTTTCTTAAAAATTTTGTTTGTTTGTTTGTTTATTTAATTAGAAAGTGGAAAGAGGGGCAGAAGGAGAGAGAGAATCCCAAGCAGACCCTATGCTGAGCGAGGAGCCCCATGAGGGGCTCAATCTCACAACCTTGAGATCATGACCTGAGCCAAAATCAAGAGTCAGATGCAATATGGATGGAACTGGAGGAGATTATGCTAAGTGAATAAAGTCAAACAGAAAAGACAATTATCATATGGTTTCACTTATTTGTGGAACATAAGGAATAGCATGGAGGACATTAGGAGAAGGACGGGAAAAATGAAGGGCGGGGGGTGGGAATCAGAGGGGGAGACGAACCATGAGAGACTATGGACTTTGGGAATCAAACTGAGGGTTTTGGAGGGAGGGTAGGGGGGTAGGTTAGCCAGGTGATGGGTATTAAAGAGGGCACGTATTGCATGGAGCACTAGGTGTTATATACACCAACAGTGAATCATAGAACACTACATCAGAAGTAATGATGTACTGTATGGTGACTAACATAACGTAATAAAAAAATTATTAAAAAAAAAAAAAGAGGGGCACCTGGGTGGCTCAGTCGTTAAGTGTCTGCCTTCGGCTCAGGTTGTAATCCCGGGGTCCTGGGATAGAGCTCTGCATCGGGCTCCCTGCTCAGCGGGAAGCCTGCTTCTCCCTCTCCCACTCCCCCTGCTTGTGTTCCCTCTCTCGCTGTGTCTCTCTCTGTCAAACAAATAAATAAAATCTTAAAAAAAAGAGTCAGATGCTTAAGAGACTGAGCCACCCAGGTGCCCCCCAATGTGGATTTTTCTATAAAGAGTCAAAATATAGTGAGAGAGTCTACCCAACATAAAGTCATTCAAATCTTGCAATACAGATACAAAACATTTCAGGATTCTAAAATTTATTTTCAAAAACTTGGAAGAGAAGCATGAACACAAACCAAGTGGAAAAAGTTTATTCAAAAAGTTGATAAAACTCTAATACATAATTTTCAACTGAAATCTGGAAAGATGTTTCTAAAGGTTTCAGTAAAATAAGTGAGAAATTAGAGTCCTGATTTGGATGTGTATACAACTCCATACAAACTGTGTTATAATGTATGTTTGGTCTTTGTCACTAGTTCCTGGTACTGAGCTCCTAAAACTGTTGGAATTTCCTGAGTGAGAGGAATGTCTTTTGTTGTTCTTTCTGAGCCCCTCTCAACCACACTTGGTTTATGCTAATGAGATGACTCAGAATGAGGCCCCTTAATAGCTTCAGAATGGGGGCTGGTCACCAAAAAAACCAAATGGAAGAGTAGAAGGTGGGAACATTCATCCCCACCCTCTGACTTCCAACAAAATGAGGGGGACTGGAGATTGGGTTATAAAAGCTCTTGAACTACAAGATTCACAGAACTTCTGAGTTGGTGAACCTGGGTGGCTCAGTCCATTAAGCGTCTGCCTTCGGCTCAGGTCATGATCTCAGGGGCCTGGGATCGAGTCCCGCATCGGGCTCCCTGCTCTGCGGGGAGTCTGCTTCTGCCTCTCCCTCTGCCTCTCCCTCTCCCTCTGCTCATGCACTCTCTCAAATAAATAAATAAATCTTTAAAAATAAATAAAATAAATTCTATTTTATATGACTTTCATCAAAAAAGAAAAAGTCAATATATATTGATGAGAGAACTTTTTTGATTAGCTGCCAATGAGAACCATATCCTCCCCCTTATAATCGCACACATCTGATAACTGGAAGAACTGTCCACAGACTAACTTCAGGATCTATTGTTGTTTCTCCTGCACCACCCACATACAAGTGCTGGGCACCACGGATGCGTTCATACTGAATATGGATGAATACTGCTGTCTCTGCACTGTCGTGATGCGGGTACTGCTGCTGGAGGGCAGTGAGAACACTCTTGGAAGCGATTCCTACACGGGAACGACTAATAATACCTATATGTGAAAGTGATTGTGAACCACATACCTGTATCCAACTAAACCAAAACTAAAGTTATCCCCAACTCAACTTGCCTTTCGCAGGGTCCCCAAAATGTCTGGGACCTTTCCACCACCACCCGCCATGAGGAGTAGTTGCAATGGAAAGAAAAAGTGGTTTTGGGGGCGCCTGGGTGGCTCAGTCGGTTAAGCGTCTGCCTTCGGCTCAGGTCATGATCCCAGGGTCCTGGGATCGAGTCCCGCATCGGGCTCCCTGCTTGGCAGGAAGCCTGCTTCTCCCTCTCCCACTCCCCCTGCTTGTGTTCCCTCTCTCGCTGTGTCTCTCTCTGTCAAATAAATAAATGAAATCTTTAAGAAAAAATGCTTATTTGGAGAGTTAACCCTGTGTCAATTATTTCTAGTGTATAGTGCATCTATCCACTAAAAAAGAGTAGGAAGGAACTTTAAGTTCTGGATTTGGGGTGAGGAGATAACCGAGTCCACAGAATGTCCAGTTATTAAAGTAGAATGAATTCTACTCAGATTTTCTAGAAAAGGTTTATCTTGGTTGCATGACAGATTGTATAGTCAATCTGCCAAACAATATTTGTGTATCTGGTGAAATCTTGGAGAAGCAATAGGAAGGGAGGTCCATGATTTTACTTGAGAGGAGACCACAGAGGAAGAATAATAATACATACCATTTACTTTATTACAGGCATAGCATTATCTCATTAAATAAAAAAAAATTTTTTTTTACCCTTTGACTGATAATTCCCCATTTCCCCCACCCTAAGCCCCTGGCAACCACCATTCTACTCTGTTTCTGAGTTCAGCTTTTACTAGATTCCACATGTAAGTGAGAACATGCAGTATTTCTTTTTCTGATTTATTTCACTTAGCATAATACCCTCAAGGTCCATCCATGTTGCAAATGGCAGGATTTCTTTCTTTTTATGGCTGAATAATATATATATATATATATATATATATATATCACATTTTCTTTATCCATTCATCTATTGACAGACAATTAGGTTGTTTCTATATCTTGGCTATTGTGAATAATGCTGCAATGAACATTAGGGTGAGGATATCTCTTTAAGATAGTGATTTTATTTTCTTCACCAAAAGTAGGCTTTTTGGATCATGTGATAGTTCTATTTTTAATTTTTTGAGGAACCTCCATTCTGTTTTCCATTATGGCTGTACAAATTTATATTCCCATCAACAGTGCACAAAGGTTCCCTTTTTGCCACATCTTTTTTAAAAAAAGATTTTATTTATTTATTTAGAGAAAGAGAGAGAGTGAGAGTGGGGGTGCAGAGGGAGAGGAAGAGAGAGAATCTCAAGTAGGCTCTGCACTCAGGGCAGAGTGGGGGTCTGGGGATCATTCTCATGACCCTGAGATCATGACCTGAACCGAAATCAAGAGTCGGACGCTTAACCAACTGAGCCACCTAGGTGCCCTCTCCATAGCTTTGATAACACTTGTTATCTCTTGTGTTTTTGATAATAGACCAATTTAATAGATGTAAGATGATATCTCATTGTGGTTTTGATTTGCATTTCCCTGATGATTCGTGATGTTGAGCATCTTTTCATATATCTGTTGGCTATTTGTATGTATTCTTTGAAAGAATGTTCAGGTCCTCTGCCCATTTATAAATTGGATTTTTAGTCTTTTTACTATTGAATTGTTTGAGTTCCTTATATTGCAAATATTTTCTCCTATTCCATAGGTTGCTTTTTCATTTTGTCAGTCATTTCTTTTGCTGCAGAAACTTTTTAGTTTGATGTAGCCTCACTTGGTTTTTGCTTGTGTTGCTTGAGCTTTTGATATCATATCTGAAAAACTATTGCCAAGACCAATCCAAGGAGCAGTCGCCGCATGTTTCCTCTAGGAGTTTTATGGTCTCAGGTCTTACATTTAAGTCTTTAGGTCCATTTCGAGTTGATTTTTGTGAGTGGTGCAAAGATAGGTGTCCAATTTCATTGTTTTACAAGTGAATATCCAGTTTTCTCAACTCCAATTATTGAAAGACTATCCTTTCCCTACTGAGTATTCTGGGCTTTCTTGTCAAATATTAGTTGACTGTATATGCATGAGTTTTTTATTTCTGGGCTCTTGATCTTGTTCCATTGGTCTATGTGTCTGTTTTTGTACATTTAGTATTTAAAATATCTTTATGTAGTAGTTGGCATTTGCTTGATTTAGACACAAGAAGACTGAGATAGAGAGAAGTATCTTGCATGATATCACACAGGGTGTATTCGAATCATTTTGATTCCAAAATCTGCACCTTCAGCTCTAGCTTATTACCTCCCTGTGTGGTATGTGGAACTTGTTCCGAAGCCTCAATAACCTTCCCCATTTCTTTCATTCTCACCTGTTCCCACATAGGAGAACACAGGTGTATGTATAATTGGATTTACATTTATTATTTCCATATGGGAGAACATGTATGGTCATATAATTTTGTATTATAAACAATGCCTTGTAACATTAATGATAATTCGGTGATTTAATTGCATTTATATTGAGAGCGTGTTGCAAATTGTTCAAGCAGCACCACTTAACAGCCAGCCACACCACAAAAGCATGAGTGCAAACACAACATTTAGAGAGATGAAATTTACAACGGCTTTGGCAATGAGGTTATGGATGAGTCATGACTGAATCATGATGCACACGTGTCTTAGAGTCTGGTTATTAGAAAATGTTAGGACAAAAATGCTGCTGGGGCAAATATGTGTTACTACATGTTCTACAACACTTAACCTTAACAAAAAAGGGGAAGCTAAATAACAGTAACTTTAAAGAGGAAGACTATTGGCCTCTGAAAATCACAACAAATTCAAGACAACACTGTAAAGATTGCATAGTCTGGTAACAGAGGGTCCATTACTCAAATTAAGAGCATTCCAGCCATCTGGGTGAGTGAATGAGCAGCAGGAGGCTAATCGGGGTTGCAAAGATTGGCCTGGCAGCTAGGCTTCTTAGTGGAATACTGAATTTAGAGTCTTTTTTATTTTTATTTTCTTTTTTATTTATTTATTTTTAAAGATTTTATTTATTTATTTGACAGAGAGAGACACAGCAAGAGAGGGAACACAAGCAGGGGGAGTGGGAGAGGGAGAAGCAGGCTCCTGGCCGAGCAGGGAGCCTGATGCGGGGCTGGATCCTAGGATCCTGGGATCATGACCTGAGCTGAAGGCAGACACTTAACCAACTGAGCCACTCAGGTGACCCGAATTTAGAGTCTTTAATAAACCTTAGTAACAGCCCAATTTTAGTTTATGAATATCACATTTTAGTATTGGATGATTCACTTAGTAGATTACTAATGAA